ACACTTAGTCCATTATTAACACATCTCTAAATGCTCATTTAAATTTAACATCCTATCAACATCTAAGGACAGCTCCAGAAGCTAGAAGTTTGAAACTAAATAGTAAATATCAGGAACTTAACAAGATTATCAGTGAAACTGATGAACGCTCTCCAAAATTAATTCTAATGGACACAAAATTTCAACAAAGACAACAACTCTGTAATTAAGAGGTTTCGGCCCTTGAATTAGGTTAAAAGCATACACCAAGTTTCATTATTCTAGTTTAAATGAAATCAAAGTTACATGCCATGGACATGAACATTTTAACAAAGGACCATAACTCTGTAATTAAGGGATAATGGGTGCTGAATTTGGTACAGTGTACATTGCCTTAGTATGACCAATGTATATACCAAGTTTCATGATTCTTGCTTAACTTTGTCAAAGTTATGCTCCCGACACAAAAGAATAGATAGACAAAATGGAAATTACTAGTATATGCTTCCTGGAAAATCTTAGGGCTACATAACAAAGTTGATCACCTACAGGTGAAATATAACCATGTTAACCACAGAAACCATTTCACTGTTAATTAGTGTAGAGAAATACAGAGAAATACACACACCACTGTAGTATACCACAGAAACCATTTCACTGTTAATTAGTGTAGAGAAACACAGAGTAATACACACACCACTGTAGTATACCACAGAAACCATTTCACTGTTAATTAGTGTAGAGAAACACAGAGTAATATACACACCACTGGAGTAAACAGCTGACAGAGGAAGGTAAACAAATGGAATGAAATATTTTATATAACATTATATTAATTTTATTTTTTGCACGTATTTGTATTATCATATTCATTATTTAACCTAATCCTGAATTTTCTGCTGTGATAATCATAATGCTTTTTTTTTTAATATATGTAGCCTTTGTTTTTTTTTGTTTGTTTTTTTTTTGGTTTTGTTTTTTTGTATTATGGTTTTATTGTGTATATTTTTATGTTACTGGATAAATCAGTTAATAAAGGATACATCTCAAACTTAAGTACTTTAGTCTGTTTTTAAATCTAAATAACAGTTTTCTGTTATGGTCAGTATCATCATGTTGACCAAATTTTGACTCCTAAGTCAAACTACATCCTTACATTTTAACCCTAAACTGATAATAATTTTTACTGTATAACTGTATTTAGTGTATCCTAACAATGTATTTAGTGTATCCTGACAATGTATTTACTGTATCCTAACAATATATTTACTGTATCCTAACAATGTATTTACTGTATCCTAACAATGTATTTACTGTATCTTAACAATGTATTTACTGTATCTTAACAATGTATTTACTGTATCTTAACAATGTATTTACTGTATCCTAACAATGTATTTACTGTATCTTAACAATGTATTTACTGTATCTTTACAATATATTTACTGTATCCTAACAATGTATTTAGTGTATCCTAACAATGTATTTAGTGTATCCTAACAATATATTTATTGTATCTTAGCAATGTATCATATTTCATTTCCTTGATCATAACATGATCAGGCATACTTAATGAAACAGTTTTGGCACAGAGGGTCACAAGCCAATGCATTCTGTGGTTACATGTTAAAAAGTTAAATTAAGAAAAACTGTGACTAACAAGGGTATTTAAGCAAATCGTGGTAATGAGTAATGCCTAAAAACAATCTTTTGAACTTTAAAAGAAAAATTTTAAAAAATGGGAAAAAACTACAAGAACCACATAATTAAATGATAAGCCTTGCCTTAGTTTGCGACGTTTTTTTCTGTTGATAAGATGTATTAAATTTTCAATAACTTCTGTAAGTTATGTATGTATGAAAGATATTTATCATAGTATAATCATTATGAATTTACATATATTATAGATTATAATGAACTTTTATCATTCCTTATGCACCTTTCTTTTTCTGTCCTTTTTTCTGTCTTTTCTATCTATAACTTTTTCTTTCTCTTTCTAAAAACAGTACAAAGCTATGTTTATAAAATAATCATGTCTCTGCTCTGCTTTACTTACATGTTTGAGAGGATAAGTACATGCATCTTATTATTTGTAAGGTGATAAAGAGTGAAGAGGCTTCCAAAATTTTGTAAAAGGTTGAACAAGGAAAATGATGTGTATGTGTTTAAGAATCGAGTAGTAAAAATGTGGTTTGTACTGCTGTACAAATAGATTTAACCCACAAAGACTGGGACAAAGTTATGACATGTTGCCTGGTTACTGTGCATGGTTATATGGTAATTGGTTAATTTCTCATTTCTGTGTTTACTCACTTCCTCATGATTGTCTTAGGTTTGTGTTGATCATGAGTGACCATAACATGTGAGTCTGTGAGACCACAGGTAGTGACCTATCGGTAGGCAAGTAGCCACGACCTGTTTCAGTGCCTACATGGTTACAGTCTATCATTGGTCACCAGCACTGGTGTCCTGTCAGTTGGGACATCTTGAGTAATCTCCCTTGAGTAGATGTTGATGTTAGGACAACTCCCATATATACTGTGTAACTTACAGTTACCTCCCTTAGTCTATAGTCTGGTACTGGGTAGATGCACAGCTGTTACTGTGTTTCTATTGAGTGGTGGTATATTTAAATTCGTGGAGTCGCCTCCCTTCTCTGTAGGTGACATTTGTAGCTGGAGTAACATCCCTTGTTAGTAGTTGCAGTAGTTGAGAAATGTTCTTGGTGTTTCATCCTTTCAAGTGGTTGGTAGTTTGTGTTTTATCAAGATTTTCTTTTCCATGGTATGTCACTAGATGTTGACAACACAAAACATTGACATGAGGGGTGACATGGGGCAATGAAACAAGAGGTAACACTTCAGTCTCCTGACACCACACCTCTCTTCATCAATCCTGCCTCCCTTCACCACCCCTCTCTATATTACACCATTCTCCCTTCACCACACCTCTCCACACCACTCCTGTCTCCTCACACTACACCTCTCTTCATCACTCCAGTCTCCCAACATTACACCTCTCTTCATCACTCCAGTCTCCCAACATTACACCTCTCTTCATCACTCCAGTCTCCCAACATTACATCTCTCTTCATCACTCCAGTCTCCTTACATTACACCTCTCTTCATCACTCCAGTTTCCCCACACCACACCTCTCTACATCACTCCTGTCTCCTCACACTACACCTCTCTTCATCACTCCAATCTCTCCACACCACACCTCTCTACATCACTCCTGTCTCCTCACAGTACACCTCTCTTCATCAATCCAGTCTCCCCACAGCACACCTCTCTACATCACTCCTGTCTCCTCACACTACACCTCTCTTCATCACTCCAACCTCCCCAGACCTCACCTCTCTACATCACTCCAGTCTCCCACACCACACCTCTATACATCACTCCCGTCTCCCTAGACTACACCTCTCTTCATCAATCCAGTCTTCCCACACTACACCTCTATACATCACTCCCGTCTCCCTAGACTACACCTCTCTTCATCAATCCAGTCTCCCCACACCACACCTCTATACATCACTCCCGTCTCCCTAGACTACACCTCTCTTCATCAATCCAGTCTCCCCACACCACACCTCTATACATCACTCATGTGTCCCCACACCACACCTCTCCAAATAATTCCAGTTCCCTCACCTCCTCCCTTCACTCTATATCTCTACATTACCCCAGTCCCCCAAACCAAATCTCTCCTCATTTCTTTAGCCCTCAAACACCACTCCTCTCTATATCAATACAGTCTTCATACACCACTCCTCTCTATATCAATAGTCTTTCTACACCACATCTTTCATCATAACTTCAGCTTCCCCATACTGACATTCTCACCAAGATGTTGTATACTGACATTATTACCACATATACCGACACTCTCACCTGTATGTTTTATACTGACACTCTTACAAATATTCTGTATACTGACACTCTAACCAATATGTTTTATACTGACACTCTCACAAATATTCTGTATACTGACACTCTAATCAATATGTTTTATACTGACACTCTCACAAATATTCTGTATACTGACACTCTCACAAATATTCTGTATACTGACACTCTCACAAATATTCTGTATATGGATACTCTCACAAATATTCTGTATACTGACACTCTCACAAATATTCTGTTTATGGATGCTCTCACAAATATTCTGTATACTGACACTCTCACAAATATTCTGTATACTGACACTCTCACAAATATTCTGTATACTGGCACTCTCACAAATATTCTGTATACTGACACTCTCACAAATATTCTGTATACTGACACTCTCACAAATATTCTGTATATGGATACTCTCACAAATATTCTGTATACTGACACTCTCACAAATATTCTGTTTATGGATGCTCTCACAAATATTCTGTATACTGACACTCTCACAAATATTCTGTATACTGACACTCTCACAAATATTCTGTATACTGACACTCTCACAAATATTCTGTATACTGACACTCTCACAAATATTCTGTATACTGACACTCTCACAAATATTCTGTTTATGGATGCTCTCACAAATATTCTGTATACTGACACTCTCACAAATATTCTGTATACTGACACTCTCACAAATATTCTGTATACTGACACTCTCACAAATATTCTGTATACTGACACTCTCACCAATATGTTTTATACTGACACTCTCACAAATATTCTGTATACTGAGACTCTCACAAATATTCTGTATACTGACACTCTCACCAATATTACCCTCTGTAAACCTCTGTAAACTAAGTTTTGTGTTAACCTTAGAAAACTGCTATTTACTCAAATAGCACCACCGATAAAAACCACTGTATAATAATGCCATCATTTCTTTTATCCTTTTTTTTTACTTACACCCTGATCAATTATACCTTCTCTATATTGACACTCTTATAAACCGTTACGTCTGAATACGGACAAAGATAAAAGTATCTGTGATAGCCGAGACATCTATAACAGAGAGGTTTGACATCAGCAATGAAATGTCCCATTCACCAAATATTTACCTGTCATCACTGTCACAACTGGTGCCTTCTTTTGGAATGCTGTGGCTGTAAAATAAAGACAAACACACTGTATATAGCTTTTGACTTGACTTACCTCCCTTACACTGGTGACCTGTAAAACAAGTCACATTCCTGAACTCTACATTTAACAAATACTTATAATTCTGCAACAAAAAGCCTCCCTTGATAGGAGGCCATTAATGAAATTGAAGACGTAGATGGCATGCTGGCAACAACTAAACATAACCAGCCCAACAGTATAGAAAGAAGAAAATAACATTTAGTTTTCTACCAAAATCTTTATAATCATGAAATTGATATACTGAGCAAAAACCTTCACAATAAATCAAGCAGTGAGATCCAACTAATTCCTGAAATGAAAACATGTGTTTAAGGTTTTGCTGGAAACCAAATATAATATCAGAGTGTGATAGCTTACACCCAGTCTGAGAATGAAAACTCACTCAATGTCAGAGTGTGATAGCTTACACCAAGTCTGAGAATGAAAACTCACTCAATGTCAGAGTGTGATAACTTACACCAAGTCTGAGAATGAAAACTCACTCAATGTCAGAGTGTGATAACTTACACCAAGTCTGAGAATGAAAACTCACTCAATGTCAGTGTGTGATAGCTTACACCAAGTCTGAGAATGAAAACTCACTCAATGTCAGTGTGTGATAGCTTACACCAAGTCTGAGAATAAAAACTCACTCAATGTCAGAGTGTGCGAATACCTATAACCTGTCAAGAGTAAACACCAATATGGGTCTACTTCTTTAGTAAATAAGTTTAGATTTGTACAAAATTACAATCATTATACTTAATATTTCAGAGTTTGATTTTTTAAGTGTTCTTCATTATAAAATAATAGACTGCCACTGAAACAGTATATATACTTACTTCAATGGGTCTTTACAAGTCTGAAGTACCATGGAGTTAGGACTATGGTCACGTAGCTTGTCAATCCCAGGCATCTCCAGACAATCATTTGAAAATTTCTTTATGGTTACAGGGGAAAATGACCTTGACCTAGACCTTGGGGATGATGTGTGACTGCTTTCCAGCAGTGACTGTTGCTGACTAGAGTTAAACAACAATTGGTTAATCTTGGGTGATGTCTGTGGTGACTCTTTGTTGTTACATTGTATTGTTGGTGAGGAGGGCTGCTCCTCGGACAGTTTACTGCTGTTCAGGTCTTCAGAGCTCACTGGTAATGGTGGAGACATGGACCTAGAGCATGGATCTCCGTGGTTACTGTCTTGTGACTGGGATCTGTAGCACCTATCTCCATGGTTACGATCCTGTGATTCTGACCTTGAGCGTCTATCTCTGTGGTTACGATCCTGTGATTCTGACCTGGAGGATCTATCTCTATGGTTACAATCTTGTGATTTGGACCGTGATCGTCTATCTCTGTGATTACGATCCTGTGATTCTGACCTGGAGGATCTATCTCCATGGTTGAGATCTTGTGACTTTGAGGAATTTTGTTGAGACACTGTCTTGCCATTCACCACCTGTCCTGGGGACTTGGATTTTGAATGTGTCTTTGACCTGCAATACAGTGCATTTATCACTTCAGTAGAGTAAATACAATGATAAATCATAACATGACTTCTTCAGAGGGCATCATAAAAGAGGCCTGTGGGGCCTGTATCACTCATCTGGCTTCACTTGAATGAAATTACTTCATGAACTGAAAGAAAAGAAATTCTACATATGCAAGCACATGACACACAACATATCCATATTTCTATAACACTCAAGAGTCAGCCAAACCATTCCTCCAGAAGTAAGAATTTAAAGAATTTGCTCTATTTCCTATATTGGGGCCCCACCCCAGGGAGCTGAGATTCACTATTTACACAAAAGTGATTACCCTTCACCTGAAAACGCTTCTGGTAATTTGGACAAAATCCAATCGTTTTTATTTGAGGAGTAGGATTTTAGAAAATATACAACAACTTCTTCCACTAAAACATCGAAAATCTTTGAGTTAAAACAAACTTTATGGTGTTAGGAAAGCATCCCCACATCCTATTCAAGGTAACACTAAAGATCATAAAATGTTCATGTTATGTTATATTTAAAGTTTAGGAAATCAAAAGCAATATGTTTGTTACATCATACACAAACAGAATTTCTTTAAATCTCTGAAATATAAAATTCAGTCAACTACTCAATACTGATAGACATAAGAGGCCCATGGGCCTAAAAGACTTCTTCTCTGGTGAGATAGAAATCAAGCACACACTTATCATCTACACAGATGAGATTACACTTACATTACAATATATTGTGTAATACAGGTGTGACTACACTTACCTTACACAGGGTTTCTTTCTATCTCTAGAAGAGGATCCTGACTGTCTGCTTTTCTTTCTCTTGTGAGACCTTGACATTGACCTTGACCTTGACCGAGAATATGACCTAGAATTGCAATAACAGTAAACTTTTCATTGATTCACGAACACTGTTTCAGCATATCATGGAAGTCCACTATGGCTGGACACAGTGAATCTATTAAGTACTGATGGTTTCATTTTCTGAGAGTGTAAATTATTTCACATTGCTTCACCAGTACTCATGTACTCCAGTACCCAATCTATGAGGTATTGACAATTAATAAATACATTAACCTACTGCTAATAAGCATTTGCTTACCTAAACTGCTGTATTAAAGAATTGTTTTCAACAAAGTCTTAAGGGGAAAAAAACCACTTGATAATCAATTTGGTTCTTAACATATATCTAGTGCCTACTGATAAACATACACAAGCATCACAATCACTTTGATTGAAAACTTTAATAAAACTGTCCAAAATAAACTGTGTTTATTATCTTATGAAATGAACTTATTTGATATTCTAATTCATGAACAAAAAATGACCTCTGATTCACTATGACCTCTTTGGAACACAGTGGCAGCTACTTGACCACCTTACCACAACCTTGAACTTTGGAATGGTGTTATAGATATATAGTTGAATAAAAATACAAAATTATCAATAATAACAAGATTCATTTACATTATTGTTTGTTTGTGTTTTTTTGTGCTAGAAGTTTAAAGAAAGTTATAGTTATTAATTTGAGAAAAAGCCATAAAGTCTTGGGAAAATTTCCAGCAGACAAATGGCTACTCATGACCTTCAAACACAACCTTCATAAAATGAAAGTGCCTTATCAGATTGCATCATCCCTGCTAGCCAAAATCCTCTCTGAACTCCTCACCTCTACCAGCCCAAACCCCCTCCCAACTCAACTCCTCATCTCTGCAAGCCCAAACCCCCTCCCAACTCAACTTGTCTCCTCTGCCAGCCCAAACCCCCTCCCAACTCAACTCCTCACCTCTGCAAGCCCAAACCCCCTCTCAACTCAACTTGTCTCCTCTGACAGCCCAAACCCCCTCCCAACTCAACTCGTCTCCTCTGCCAGCCCAAACCCCCTCCCAACTCAACTCCTCACCTCTGCCAGCCCAAACTCCATCCTAACTCAACTCGTCTCCTCTGCCAGCCCAAACCCCCTCCCAACTCAACTTGTCTCCTCTGCCAGCCCAAACCCCCTCCCAACTCAACTCCTCACCTCTGCCAGCCCAAATCCTCTCCCAATTCAACTCGTCTCCTCTGCCAGCCCAAACTCCCTCCTAACTCAACTCGTCTCCTCTACCAGTCCAAACCCCCTCCCAACTCAACTTGTCTCCTCTGACAGCAGCTAGCCAAACCCCCTCCCAACTCAACTCGTCTCCCTGCCACCCCAAACCCCCTCCCAACTCAACCCCCTCCTAACTCAACTCGTCTCCTCTACCAGTCCAAACCCCCTCCCAACTCAACTTGTCTCCTCTGACAGCCCAAACCCCCTCCCAACTCAACTCTTCACCTCTGCTAGCCCAAACCCCCTCCCAACTCAACTCGTCTCCTTTGCCAGCCCAAACCCCCTCCTAACTCAACTCGTCTCCTCTGCCAGCCCAAACCCCCTCCCAACTCAACTTGTCTCCTCTGCCAAAACCCCCTCCCAACTCAACTCCTCAACCCCCTCCCAACTCAACTCATCTCCTCTGCCAGCCCAAACTCCCTCCTAACTCAACTCGTCTCCTCTACCAGTCCAAACCCCCTCCCAACTCAACTTGTCTCCTCTGACAGCCCAAACCCCCTCCCAACTCAACTCTTCACCTCTGCTAGCCCAAACCCCCTCCCAACTCAACTCGTCTCCTCTGCCAGCCCAAACCCCCTCCCAACTCAACTCATCTCCTCTGCCAGCCCAAACCCCCTCCCAACTCAACTTGTCTCCTCTGCCAACCCAAACCCCCTCCCAACTCAACTCCTCACCTCCTTCCTGCCAAAATCCCCTCTCAACTCAACTCCTCACCTCTGCCAGCCCCAACCCCCTCCCAACTCGTCTCCTCTGCCAGTCCCTGCTCTCCCCATTCAAAAGATTCTGTCATTGAATTATTGTTAGAGATTCAAGAACCAATGGAGTGATTGACCAAACATGAACCATCCTTAAATTACGTTGATGTTGTCATAACATACTTGTGTTTTCTCATCTGTGATATTGACCTCCGTCTGTTTCTGAATCTCTTACTCATGGGGGACCTAAAAAGCAAAAATAGAGGTTATTGTATATTACTTACTAGCAAGCTCAGTACGAGAGATGTTTTCGAGGGGGTAAACAAGTATACAAGTGTTGCTGTGGTATATCAAAGCCTCTGAAACAATAGGCTATTTCATGATGGTAGTTTTAAGGCCCACAAACTAAATTTTTGCTACTTTTGTGTCTATAAACTTCTGCATGGGTAAAATCAAAATTGTATTTCATGAAAAACAAAAAAAAAGGCCCTGTGTCACTCATCTGTAATTGGCTGAAATTACTTAATCCAAACTAAAGAGAAAGGAATAATCCCCTATTAGCCCAAACCACTCTGCCACAAGAGAGTCAACAAAACTATCTAAAAAAGGAGTCTCATTACCCCAGTCTAAACTGGAACAAAATCTGGACATTAATACAGAATAAGGATTCTAAAAAATCCTCGTCTGTTTCTGCTATGGGGCCCAACTCTTCCTGACCCAAGAGTCAGAGACCTACAATTTGTACAGAGTTTGTCCAATAGAGCACAAGACCTGTTTTTTTTACACCAAAAATGATTCAGTTCAACTAAAGATGCTTTAGACAAAAGCTGAACAAAAACAAATAGTTCCTACAGAAGCAATTTACACTAAATTTCCCCATCTGTTCCCCAACCCCCCACCAGAGCCTCAGACCCCAGGGGGTGAGACCAAACAATTACACAAAATTGATTCCCCTTCACCCAATGATACTTCTTACATCTTGTGGAATTGGTGTTAAAAAGAAATAGTTTTGCAGACAACTGACATCACAGTATGACATTTTCAGACCAGGTGAGCTAAAAATTGTACATATATATATGGATGAGCTAATTTGTATAGGTTAAATTAAGTTCTCTTCAAATTATCCCACGATAACCTACACGAAATAAAACAGTTAATGGTTTGTATGGAACTCTAAAGAGTTTGAAATGGTTCTAAATACTAATTTATAGCTAAGAAAAAATAAATTGATAAATGTCTTATTTCTGACATAAACAGAGATATCTGATAACTTTGCTCTACATCTCCTCCATATGTATTTATATATACACACTGCTATATAACAGCTTTGTGTAGAAAATATTTAAATGTGTTCTATTCTATAGATATGGATCTTTTTCACATGAAAGCATCCATTTAGAGATATTACAAGTCTCTGCAATACATCAGATAACAAAACAGAACTGAAAATGCACAGAATTTACATTATCTCATTTCAACTCAAGAAAGACAGCATCTTTCTGCCTCAAATTAAAAAAAAAACTATTCACACATTTTGAATACTTCAGGTGAGAAGTTTCCTCCGAAAAGTTAACAAGAAATAAATGTCAGTGTGATATTCTGACCTATAACAAGGTCAATACTTGTCAAGCACATATACATGTACATTTAAAGCTGAATACAGAAGGACCTTTCATATACAATATCAGGTGCTGAGAAATTAATCACTGTTCCCATGATGGGCACGCTGTGCCATTAAATTGGCTGGTAGGTCTTAATGAAATATTTTGGTTGACTGATCATTTTTGAATTACCTTTTTTGCACAAGCTTTGAAAGGACTGGTATGAATATTTAGTTAAATGACTTCGACAATCAGGCTGGATGAGAATGTTCTCAATGGTACAAACAACAGCATGAGTGAATTACAGAATCTTAAAGTCAAGTTAAAGGTATAAATGAAGATGTTGATAAGGTCACATGCTAATACAGTCAGGCATTGAAAAGTTTAGATGATAAGTTAGTAAATGTTAGTAAAGTCAGATGTCAGTTAAGTCAGGTGTCAATAAAGTCAGGTGTCAGTTAAGTCAGGTGTCAGTTATGTCAGGTGTCAGTTAAGTCAAGGGTCAGTTAAGTCAGATGTCAGTTAAGTCAGGTGTCAATAAAGTCAGGTGTCAGTAAAGTCAGGTGTCAGTTATGTCAGGTGTCAGTAAAGTCAGGTGTCGGTAAAGTCAGGTGTCAGTAAAGTCAGGTTAAGTCAAGGGTCAGTTAAGTCAGGTGTCAGTTAAGTCAGGTGTCAGTAAAGTCAGGTGTCAATAAAGTCAGGTGTCAGTTAAGTCAGGTGTCAGTAAAGTCAGGTGTCAGTAAAGTCAGGTGTCAGTAAAGTCAGGTGTCAGTAAAGTCAGGTGTCAGTTAAGTCAGGTGTCAGTAAGGTCAGGTGTCAGTAAAGTCAGGTGTCAGTAAGGTCAGGTGTCAGTAAAGTCAGGTGTCAGTAAAGTCAGGTGTCAGTAAGGTCAGGTGTCAGGTGTCAGTAAAGTCAGGTGTCAGTAAAGTCAGGTGTCAGTAAAGTCAGGTGTCAGTAAGGTCAGGTGTCAGTAAGGTCAGGTGTCAGTAAAGTCAGGTGTCAGTAAGGTCAGGTGTCAGTAAAGTCAGGTGTCAGTAAGGTCAGGTGTCAGTAAAGTCAGGTGTCAGTAAAGTCAGGTGTCAGTAAAGTCAGGTGTCAGTAAGGTCAGGTGTCAGTAAAGCCAGGTGTCGGTAAAGTCAGGTGTCAGTAAGGTCAGGTGTCAGTAAGGTCAGGTGTCAGTAAGGTCAGGTGTCAGTAAAGTCAGGTGTCAGTAAGGTCAGGTGTCAGTAAAGTCAGGTGTCAGTAAAGTCAGGTGTCAGTAAGGTCAGGTGTCAGTAAGGTCAGGTGTCAGTAAAGTCAGGTGTCAGTAAGGTCAGGTGTCAGTAAGGTCAGGCCCTGAAACAATCAGGTTCCACTGTACTCCTTTATTTGTTACAAAAATAAAATGGAGTAAGTCTCAATGATATCAGAGTTAATTTATTACACAATCTATGTAGAATAAAACAGCCATGTAAATGTTTACAACAAACTTATGAAAGATAACGTCAACCTTCTCTTTGAAGAACAGATAACAGGTACAACCATTACATGATAAAGGAAGCCTGGCTTTTTTCCCTCAAACAGCACATCAATTTTTATTTCCAGAACATTAATCATATATTCTTAACAACAGCAACTAAACACAGTGTGCAGATTCAGTAAAACTAAACTGACATGAAGATATTATTGATGTAATTTCACAGATAAGTTTAATTTCCATGATAAAACAGCATAATGCAAAAGTTGTGAATTTTGTAAATAAATACTAGTCTCAGCAGCAATACCTATTGGGAGTTACACACTAATATCTTACCATGTGGGAGTTACACACTAATATCTTACCATGTAGGAGGGTCACACTAATATCTTACCATGTGGGAGGGTCACACTAATATCTTACCACGTGGGAGGTTCACACTAATATCTTACCATGTGGGAGGTTCACACTAATATCTTACCATGTGGGAGGGTCACACTAATATCTTACCATGTGGGAGGGTCACACTAATATCTTACCATGTGGGAGGTTCACTCTAATATCTTACCACGTGGGAGGTTCACACTAATATCTTACCATGTGGGAGGGTCACACTAATATCTTACCATGTGGGAGGTTCACACTAATATCTTACCATGTGGGAGGGTCACACTAATATCTTACCATGTGGGAGGTTCACTCTAATATCTTACCACGTGGGAGGTTCACACTAATATCTTACCATGTGGGAGGTTCACTCTAATATCTTACCATGTGGGAGGTTCACACTAATATCTTACCATGTGGGAGGTTCACACTAATATCTTACCACACACTAATATCTTACCATGTGGGAGGTTCACACTAATATCTTACCATGTGGGAGGTTCACACTAATATCTTACCATGTGGGAGCTACACACTTATATCTTACCATGTGGGAGGTTCACACTAATATCTTACAATGTGGGAGGTTCACTCTAATATCTTACCATGTGGGAGGTTCACACTAATATCTTACCATGTAGGAGGTTCACACTAATATCTTACAATGTGGGAGCTACACACTTATATCTTACCATGTGGGAGGTTCACACTAATATCTTACCATGTAGGAGCTACACAGTAATATCTTACCATGTGGGAGGTTCACTCTAATATCTTACCATGTGGGAGCTACACAGTAATATCTTACCATGTGGGAGGTTCACTCTGATATCTCACCATGTGGGAAATACACACTAATATCTTACCATGTGGGAGTTAGACACTTATCTTTGCTGAGTAGGGCACAAAACAAATTCTCACCTAGTAGTTTAAAGTTTTAGGTACTTAGTGGTATAGCTACAAAATAATATGTTACATAATGAATATGACATAATATGTCAAAGTAGGAGAAATCACATTGTTTATAACTGCCTAGCCCTAACTCTCTAACAGTAGATAACATCTGTAGGGATTTAAAAAAACCTGGCAGATTTAAAGTTTAATACTGAAAATATCATATAATTTGTGTATCAATTTGTACCATTAAAAACTGCAATATTACTGAAGTTTCATACAGAAAGAACAGATACCTACCTTGACCTTGAATTTGACCTTGAGTATGACCTTGATCGTCTGCTCCTTTTGTATCTGTAAACAGCAATTTTTGGATTACAGCTAATCTGTAACAATATCTACATAATATTATAGATGTGTCTGTGGAATCTGTCTGGTACAAGGTTTCAGAGAAATGGTAATAACTAATGAAATTGAAATACAAACACTCATAAAATATTCTTCACTTGACTTCTGATTTTCATTAACGATCACCTGGTGATGGCACTTGCAGGTAAATCATCTATGAACTTGTTGAGGTATATTTGGTATGTGACGATGACCAATAATTTGGATTGAAGACAGATATGACCAATGAATGTGGCAGGTAACCTTAACATTGACAAACTATGCTAACCCATGGTATACACAACATATACACCCTGGGAAAGTTTCATTAGGAAACATCATTCTATGAACAGTCAAGGTCATATTTCTGGGGAAGTGAAAGACTGATAACTTGGAGATTTTTTTTTTGCCTGATGTTATTTAACGTATGTTACCTTGACTGTGACCAATCAAGCTGATATTTCATTTACTCAAGGCATATTAAAGGAAATATAACTTGAAGTTTCTACAATATTTATGAACTGATAAGGATGCTAGAGTGATGAAAACCTTGACCTGTGACCTAGCAGTAATGGTTAATAAAAGCCTTGACCTGTGGCCTAGCAATAATGGTCAATACAACAGACATAAAGAAAACGGGAGAATGAAAAAAATATTTATTTGTCGAACATCAGAGACAGCCAAAATACCCTGGAACAAACAGAACAGATAAAGAACTTCAGTTCTTCATTATGGAGGCTGTGATCCACTGTAGATATCTGTTTATCTAAGGACATTGTAAAACTCTACCAACATTACTATGTGTATAATGTCTAACATACTTATCACAATGTTAATGATACAGAACATGGGCAGATAAACAATTACAGATGTTCAGATCACTAAACATTCAATATATCTGTTACCAGTGTAATAACACTCAGGATATTGTTTCATAAATGACACCTAACAAGGATATTACTTAAACATCTCATAGTTTTAATTGTGGTGTCATAGCTTTTACATGCTATGCATGTGTCACATGCAATTTTACACAATAAAATATAGAGGCATGAAGTGTCAATGTAACTATATATACCAGACCTGGCTATGTTTTACACTAAAACTTGTTAGGAAAAAAATTGATTATTTGATGAGTGGACCAATAAAAAGACCTTTGAACACCCAAATGGTAATTCAAGTAGCAATCAGTAACACTGGTACCAAGACCCAACTGAATGGTTTAAATAGTGAAAGAAATTTTCATTGTATCATGTGAGTCATAACTGAAGGTTTAAAAATCTAAACAGATTATAATCAGAAAATTGATCTATAGAATCCAATGTCGAGATGTATAATTAAAGAAATTTAAACTAGAATGAAACACTCAGGAGTCAGGGGGTCACAGACAGAATTAGAGCCAGGAATATCTTACTGATAGCCAGGGGTTACTGACACAGCTAGAGGTCAGGTGTTACTGACACAGTTAGGGGTCAGGGGTTACTGACACAGTTAGGGATCATGGGTTACTGACAGATACAGTCAGGACTTACTAACACAGTTAGGGGTCAGGGGTTACTGACACAGTTAGGGGTCAGGGGTTACTGACACAGTTCGGGATCAGGGGTTACTGACAGATACAGTCAGGACTTACTAACACAGTTAGGGGTCAGGGGTTACTGACACAGTTAGGGATCAGGGGTTACTGACAGATACAGTCAGGACTTACTAACACAGTTAGGGGTCAGGGCTTACTACTGACACAGTTAGGGGTAAGGAGTTACTAACACAGTTAGGGGTCAGGTGTTACTTACAGATACAGTCAGGAGTTACTGACACAGTTAGGGGTCAGGAGTTACTAACACAGTTAGGGGTCAGGTGTTACTTACAGATTCAGTCAGGAGTTACTTACAGATACAGTCAGGAGTTACTGACATAGTTAGGGGTCAGGAGTTACTAACACAGTTAGGGGTCAGGTGTTACTTACAGATTCAGTCAGGAGTTACTGACACATTTAGGGGTCAGGAGTTACTAACACACTTAGGGGTCAGGAGTTACTGACACAGTTAAGGATCAGGTGTTACTTACAGATACAGTCAGGAGTTACTGACACAGTTAGGGGTCAGGTGTTACAAAGTTAGGAGTTACTGACACAGTTAGGGGTCAGGGGTTACTGACACAGTTAGGGGTCAGGGGTTACTACTGACAAAGTTAGGAGTTACTGACACAGTTAGGGGTCAGGGGTTACTACTGACAAAGTTAGGAGTTACTGACACAGTTAGGGGTCAGGGGTTACTGACACAGTTAGGGGTCAGGGGTTACTCCTTGGACAGCTAGTATCAAAAGTTAGTGACAAATACAGTAACATGTATAAAAGAAGGGAATAGAGTAGATTTTCTGACAGTGTACAAAAGGGCAATAGGGCCTGTATTGTTCATCCACAGGTGATTTAAATATATTTCCCTATGGCCCGTCATCCTTCTGAACCCAGATTGTCAGTGAATCCATTTAAAAAAAGTATCCTTCACCCAAGAAGACTTGATATCATAATGAAAGTATGAAACAAGGTTCTATCAAGGTTTATATACCGATTTTCTTTAGAACGGGAGCGAGAACTTCGCCTTCGTTTCCTTGATGATGAACGTGGCTGGGAATGTGATTTTGAGCGTGATCTTGAGTATGAATGTGACCTGAAATATATCAAACGAGAAAGAACATTTCAATACATGTAGATGCCCAACTATAAATTACCACCCCACACCCCATCCCACCACCCCCATCTCCCAACCCCAAATCCCTCCTTATCAAAATTAAGTATTCCCTCTGTGAGACCATGTGACTGGAGATCCAAATTATTGATTGATCATTACATTCAAAATCCAAATTGATAAATTATTTTTACTAAACCCTGACCATTACATTCAAGGCCAAAATTGTAATACAATTGTTGAAATCTTATTCATATTACCAAGACCATCATTCCTAGAACATCATCACATCCCATCCATCCCCCTCACCCCAACATACTGATAATTGTTTTTCAATTGAATTGAAATTGATCAATACATTGTCCCTTATTCATGGACTACTTCACGTACATATCAGACTTAAACATTAATAATAAAACATTGGTACCTAATTTATTTATAAACCTATCTTAAAACCCTAGCCTGTTAAATTCTATATATTTAAACAATGGTTAAGTTTTCAATAAAAACATTTCCATCTACAATAACACAAATTGGAATTTGAAATTGACAATTGATCGATGTATTTTCATTATACGGAATGAAATGAAAGATATGAAGCAGTAAGTCGTGTGTTATACAAAAAGAGCCTGTGAGTATTTGATTTGTGGATCTAGACAGGACAGATTATTGTATTCAATTGATTACCGGATTTTACCACACACATGTTTACAGGTAAATACAGATGTTATTTTATAAGTCTGTGTTGTACAATAGGTAACAGATTGCTGCACTCCCTCCCATTACTGTTGACATTGTGTAACATTTTGTTTGACTGCGTGTTGATTTAAGATTAACGGGTCACCTATAACTATAAAACTATTTACAAGTACTACATATGGTTCACTACATCAATGGTTAGTTATAAAACCTGAAGGGACGTTTGAAGGGTGAAAGCCATTACTGTATATCTATATTTAGATATAAATCTGGAGGACTCTTTGATAAGTGAAACCCGCTAAGTAAAAGACTTTATTTATATATTATATTGATATACTATGATTTTTCTATGTATCTGTTTCTACACTTATATTGGCAATATGTTCAATGTATGACACTACTAGAATTCTCCTTCTACATTATTTATCATAAAAATGTTGACATTAACAGTATATATTGCACTATCTATCCGTTTCTATAACTATATATATACATATATCTGTTTCAACAGACTTCAAGTGTCAAAAACCAAGTTTTTTCTGGTTAGTTCCAAAAAAGATACTTCTTAACTAGAAATAGCTATACCATGAATTATTTAAGTACAGACAATGGACCAGGGATGAAGGAAGAGTAATTTGAACAGCCAACCATCTGATGGATTATTCATGTCATGCTTAAAAGGGAAACCCCTGTGTTGATAAATTTGTGGGAAAACACAACCTGATATTTTTTAGTAGGCTTAAATATCATTCCGTTCATTGTTACCGGTTTGTGCACCTCATAGGTGAAGTTTAAAAAAAATTGTTTTGACTGCTTATACGCATAGTGGAAATCAGCACATTTCTGGCAGCCATTTAAATTCTGATATCTACCTGTCATGACTTAGGACATTCAATTAGACCTAGTTTTCAATAGACAAGTAAAATGAGTTTGATCATCCATTCAATCTCCTAAAATAGTTTGTAGTTAGAAAGGACTGGATTGTTGACATACAACAAACAAACTATAAAGGCGGTATGTCATTAAAATCCCATCCATACACTCTCTGTTTGATGGAACCATACCTTACAGATATATTACACAAAGGCAACATGATTATCCATACATATAGTGACAGACTAGGTTTGGATGAGAGATCAGTAAGACAGGGACGCTATGTTCACATTCTTGATCCCAAACAAAACATGACATCACACATAGATGTTGAAATAAAACATGACATCACACATAGATGTTGAAACATAACATGACATCACACATAGATGTTGAAACAAAACATGACATCACACATAGATGTTGAAACAAAACATGACATCACACATAGATGTTGAAACAAAACATGACATCACACATAGATGTTGAAACATAACATGACATCACACATAGATGTTGAAACATAACATGACATCACACATAGATGTTGAAACATAACATGACATCACACATAGATGTTGAAACAAAACATGACATCACACATGGATGTTGAAACAAAACATGACATCACACATAGATGTTGAAACAAAACATGACATCACACATAGATGTTGAAACAAAACATGACATCACACATAGATGTTGAAACAAAACATGACATCACACATAGATGTTGAAACAAAACATGACATCACACATAGATGTTGAAACAAAACATGACATCACACATAGATGTTGAAACAAAACATGACATCACACATAGATGTTGAAACAAAACCTGACATCACACATAGATGTTGAAACAAAACCTGACATCCACACATAGATGTTGAAACAAAACCTGACATCACACATAGATGTTGAAATAAAACATGACATCACACATAGATGTTGAAATAAAACATGACATCACACATAGATGTTGAAATAAAACATGACATCACATATAGATGTTGAAATAAAACCTGACATCACACATAGATGTTGAAATAAAACAAAACACATACATGTTGAAATAAAACACACACACATAGATGTTGAAACAAAACATGACATCACACATAGATGTTGAAACAAAACATGACATCACACATAGATGTTGAAACAAAACATGACATCACACATAGATGTTGAAACAAAACCTGACATCACACATAGATGTTGAAACAAAACCTGACATCACACATAGATGTTGAAATAAAACATGACATCACACATAGATGTTGAAACAAAACCTGACATCACACATAGATGTTGAAATAAAACATGACATCACACATAGATGTTGAAATAAAACATGACATCACACATAGATGTTGAAACAAAACCTGACATCACACATAGATGTTGAAATAAAACATGACATCACACATAGATGTTGAAACAAAACCTGACATCACACATAGATGTTGAAACAAAACATGACATCACACATCACACACACATAGATGTTGAAATAAAACATGACATCACACATAGATGTTGAAATAAAACATGACATCACACATAGATGTTGAAACAAAACCTGACATCACACATAGATGTTGAAACAAAACCTGACATCACACATAGATGTTGAAACAAAACCTGACATCACACATAGATGTTGAAACAAAACATGACATCACACATAGATGTTGAAACAAAACCTGACATCCACATATAGATGTTGAAATAAAACATGACATCACACATAGATGTTGAAACAAAACCTGACATCACACATAGATGTTGAAACAAAACATGACATCACACATAGATGTTGAAACAAAACATGACATCACACATAGATGTTGAAACAAAACATGACATCACACATAGATGTTGAAACAAAACATGACATCACACATAGATGTTGAAACAAAACATGACATCACACATAGATGTTGAAACAAAACATGACATCACACATAGATGTTGAAACAAAACATGACATCACACATAGATGTTGAAACAAAACATGACATCACACATAGATGTTGAAACAAAACATGACATCACACATAGATGTTGAAACAAAACATGACATCACACATAGATGTTGAAACAAAACATGACATCACACATAGATGTTGAAATAAAACATGACATCACACATAGATGTTGAAACAAAACATGACATCACACATAGATGTTGAAACAAAACATGACATCACACATAGATGTTGAAACAAAACCTGACATCACACATAGATGTTGAAACAAAACATGACATCACACATAGATGTTGAAACAAAACATGACATCACACATAGATGTTGAAACAAAACATGACATCACACATAGATGTTGAAACAAAACATTCATCTTATATCATCTGATTTCTTTGTTTCACAAGAATTTTACAAAACACTGTAGTTAATTGGAAGTTTATCTGGACGTGTTTACTAACCCAAGGCTAACATTGAGGACATAAGTCCTTTTCTTTATTGATATTTTATTCCATGAACAGAATATGTCCCAATAAATACATACAAAGTAGCTGTTGATTTTTAAATCTGACCTTAAAACTCAAAAAAACAAATACAATACATCAAGTTCAGGAGACAGTGATGTCAAAGACAGGAAATCAATATTGGGAGACAGCAATGTCACACACAGGGTATCAAGGTTTAGAGATAGTAATGTAACACACAAGGTATCAAGGTTTAGAGATAGTAATGTCGCACATAGGGTATCAAGGTTTAGAGATAGTAATGTAACACACATGGTATCAAGGTTTAGAGATAGTAATGTCACACACAGGGTATCAAGGTTGAGAGACAGCAATGTCACAAACAGGGTATCAAGGTTTAGAGATAGTAATGTAACACACATGGTATCAAGGTTTAGAGATAGTAATGTCGCACATAGGGTATCAAGGTTTAGAGATAGTAATGTCACACACAGTGTATCAAGGTTGAGAGACAGCAATGTCACAAACAGGGTATCAAGGTTTAGAGATAGTAAGTCACACACAGGGTATCAAGGTTTAGAGATAGTAATGTCACACACATGGTATCAAGGTTTAGAGATAGTAATGTCACACACAGGGTATCAAGGTTTAGAGATAGTAATGTCGCACAGGGTATCAAGGTTTAGAGACAGCAATGTCACACACATGATATCAAGATTTAGAGATAGTAATGCCACACACAGGGTATCAAGGTTTAGAGACAGCAATGTTACACACAGGGTTCAGGGTTTAGAGATAGCAATGTCACACATAGGGTATCAAGGTTTAGAGATAGTAATGTCACACAGGGTTTCAGGGTTTAGAGATAGCAATGTCACACACAGGGTATCAAGGTTTAGAGATAGTAATGTCACACACAGGTGGGTTAAGAGATAGCAATGTCGCACACAGGGTATCAAGGTTTAGAGATAGTAATGTCACACACAGGTATCAGGGTTAAGAGATAGCAATGTCACACACAGGGTATCAAGGTTTAGAGACTGTAATGTCACACACAGGGTATCAAGATTTAGAGATAGTAATGTCACACACAGGATACCAAGGTTTAGAGATAGTAATGTCACACACAGGGTATCAGGGTTCAGAGAAAGTAATGTCACACACAGGGTATCAAAGTAGGAAATCAGCTATATAACAGACTGGATACAGGATAGTTAGGAGACAGTGATGCCAAAGGTCTTGAGACAGTAATTGCACTGCCAGGATATCAAGGTTGGGAGAGGGTTATGTTAAAGACAGGATATCAAGGTTGGGAGAGAGTTATGTTAAAGACAGGATATCAAGGTTGGGAGAAAGTGATGGTACAGATAGGATGTTGAGATTGGGATAAAGTGATGTCACAGACAGGATGTTGAGGTTGGTAGCCAGTGATGTCACAGACAGGATGTTGAGGTTGGTAGACAGTGATGTCACAGACAGGATGTTGAGGTTGGTAGACAGTGATGTCACAGACAGGATGTTGAGGTTGGTAGACAGTGATGTCACAGACAGGATGTTGAGGTTGGTAGACAGTGATGTCACAGACAGTGTATTGAGGTTGAGAGAAAGTGATGTAACAGACAGGGTATCCAGGTTGGGAGAAAGTGATGTCACAGATAGGATGTTGAGGTTGGTAACAGTGTTGTCACAGATAGGATGTTGAGGTTGGGAAAAAGTGATGTCACAGACAGGATGTTGAGGTTGGTAGACAGTGATGTTACAGACAGGATGTTGAGGTTGGTAGACAGTGATGTCACATACAGGATGTTGAGGTTGGTAGACAGTGATGTCACATACAGGATGTTGAGGTTGGTAGACAGTGATGTCACAGACAGGATGTTGAGGTTGGTAGACAGTGATGTCACAGACAGTGTATTGAGGTTGAGAGAAAGTGATGTAACAGACAGGGTATCCAGGTTGGGAGAATGTGATGTAACAGACAGGGTATCCAGGTTGAGAGAAAGTGATGTAACAGACAGGGTATCCAGGTTGAGAGAAAGTGATGTAACAGACAGGGTATCCAGGTTGGGAGAATGTGATGTAACAGACAGGGTATCCAGGTTGGGAGAAAGTCATATCACAGATAGGATGTTGAGGTTGGTAACAGTGATGTCAGATAGGATGTTGAGGTTGGGAAAAAGTGATGTCACAGACAGAATACTGAGGTTTGGAAAAAGTGATGTCACAGACAGAATACTGAGGTTGGGAAAAAGTGATGTCACAGACAGAATATTGAGGTTGGGAAAAAGTGATGTCACAGACAGAATATTGAGGTTGGGAAAAAGTGATGTCACAGACAGAATATTGAGGTTGGGAAAAAGTGATGTCACAGACAGAATATTGAGGTTGGTAGACAGTGATGTCACAGACAGGGTATCATGACTGGGAACAAGGTAATGTTGAAGGACATGATTTTTGGCTGATCACAGTAGCGTACTTACCTATATTTGTAGTCAGTGGTGTATCTGCTACTACGCATAGCTTTAGCTGCTGCTCTCTCCCCATACGGAATAGCGTGCTCAACTCGTACCCTCCGACCACACACTAACCTGTCAACATTCAATGCACTTTATGAGGAGTTAGGACAATCAGACCCTATTCCTCACTCTACTCATTACAAAATTCTCGTTGAAATCTGCTCTTTGACATCGCAGGCATTAGTACACATTTAAATAAAAAATACGAAAATAAAATAAACAACCAAGAAACTAAGAGGGCTTGTATTGCTTCGATTGTTTGTTAAGGTGTCACTGTATATTACAAATGATGAATATATTGATGTATATATATATATATATCATGCTTGTCCTTGACACTCTGTTTTCAAGTAAAGGTGCTTGATTTTCAGAAAGAAAAATGGACAAAGTCTCAAATAGCCCTAGTAATAAAAATCAGACTGATGAATGTTCTGGTAAAATGATTCCTCGAATCCTTTTTTATTCATTTTAAATTATATGTTTTGAATATGCACAGAACTTCTTAACAAGCAAACAGCTGCTTTTATACAAAACCCACTTTATAAAGAATCTCAGGTTCTGTTTAACTTCTTTAACTGTTAAACACACTTTATGCAGTATGTACATGTGTGGGCCTATCTGTTCCAGTTTCTAGATGAACAAGAAATTATATTGCCATAAAATCTTTCTTAAATTTGCATTTAAATGGGGTTCATCTTTCCCCTGATCTTCATCCCACATGTATATCTGTCATGGTGTTTTTACTTGATAAATTTGTAGTTCTTAAATAATTCAGTAATGGTAACTATGGACAACACTGTCATCATGTATAATGGTAACTATGGACAACACTGTCATCATGTATAATGGTAACTATGGACAACACTGTCATCATGTATCATGGTAACTATGGACAACACTGTCATCATGTATCATGGTAACTATGGACAACACTGTCATCATGTATAATGGTAACTAAGGACAACACTGTCATCATGTATCATGGTAACTATGGACAACACTGTCTTCATGTATCATGATAACTATGGACAACACTGTCATCATGTATAATAGTAACTATGGACAAAACTGTCATCATGTATAATTGTAACTATGGACAACACTGTCATCATGTATCATGTCTATGGACAACACTGTCATCATGTATCATGGTAACAATGGACAACACTGTCATCATGGTAACTATGGACAACACTGTCATCATGTATCATGGTAACTGTGGACAACACTGTCATCATGTATCATGGTAACTATGGACAACACTGTCATCATGTATCATGGTAACTATGGACAAAACTGTCATCATGTATCATGGTAACTATGGACAACACTGTCATCATGTATCATGGTAACAATGGACAACACTGTCATCATGGTAACTATGGACAACACTGTCATCATGTATCATGGTAACTATGGACAACACTGTCATCATGTATCATGGTAACTATGGACAACACTGTCTTCATGTATCATGATAACTATGGACAACACTGTCATCATGTATCATGGTAACTATGGACAACACTGTCATCATATATAATGGTAACTATGGACAACACTGTCATCATGTATCATGGTAACTATGGACAACACTGTCATCATGTATCATGGTAACTATGGACAACACTGTCATCATGTATTATGGTAACTATGGACAACACTGTCATCATGTATCATGGTAACTATGGACAACACTGCCATTATGTATAATGGTAACTATGGACAACACTGCCATTATGTATAATGGTAACTATGGACAACACTCTCATCATGTATCATGGTAGCTATGGACAACACTGTCATCATGTATCATGTTAACTATGGACAACACTGTCATCATGTATAATGGTAACTTTGGACAAAACAGTCATCATGTATCATGGTAACTATGGACAACACTGTCGTCATCATTCATGATAATGTATTTGGTTATAAAACATATCACCATATGACAAATTACATGTATCTTGTTAATGTATTCTCATTTGAAAAGAAGATTAACATTTTACTGTCTAACTTTTTTTTGTACTTACATTATGTAGCAATTTGATTCCAAGATGATAAATTCAAAAACAGAGTTTGAATAATAATAAGGGATATATGTACCTGAGGTAGTTATCCTTCCACAATCTACTCACATTAAATGAATATTATTGTCATATTTTTTCATGTATAATACAAATGTGTAACTGTAAATGTACAAATTGCTGGTGCGCTATGATTGATTGTTCTCGCCTGAATTAACTTCTAACTTTCCTAAAAGGAAGGTATATAACTAAAAGTCACCAAATACAACCCCAACTTATTCTGTACAGAATCAAGTCACTGAATACCTCAACGTTTTTTGTACAGAAAGAAGTCACCACATACACCCACAACATCCACTCACTGATAGTGATATTATCAATCAAGAATACCATAAGCTATTCTACTAACTAGTCAGGTGGGTGATGAAGCATGGGTAAACTTTGCAGCAGAGAAAAGGTCAATATATAGGTCTACTTTTGATAAATGACTCACCATTTGAATGAAAGAAAATTACACTGTGAATCTCGGATCAAGAAATATACTGCACAAAAATTAATAACATATTACTTACCACCAGTAAATTCGGGGCTTGATAAGTAACATCAAATATACAATTATACTACTGCTTATGTGGAACGCTGATGTTTTTAACCCGACCATCAAAGTTCACATCAGAATATTCATTTAGGACTTTATTCACTAAATTTACTGTCAAATATATTTACAGCTTACAGGATATTGCTAATCAGAAAATAGACATAGTGACAGATCAAATTCTAGAATAAAACAGAAGGCACATTTAATTCCTTGATGTGTCCTGTACATTGATTGGCCCTGATGAAGCCGCACCTTTACAAGGAACTTGAAACATAAAAACACATTTAACTGGTGACACTTGTAAATATTATCCTATTTTTTACTTGTAAACTGATTTGATGTAACTGGTGAGCAAGGTTGGGTTTATATCTATGGATGTATTTAAGGAAAATATTAATGTTATAATATCGTTCAGTGTAGATATGTATGCCACTGATCCACATAACTCTCTGTGGTCATTCAGGGTTGAAGATGACAAGATTAAGGTTCATGAGGCTTATCACCAGCAGACAGAGCACTTCTCTTTCTGCAGTTTTAAAATTTGAAAATTATTACAATTAACCAAATAAAACTTAAAATTAAAAAGAAATGAAAAAAAGAAATGCTTATTAAAAACCTTATAGATATATAATGCTGATATTGTTTGGCTGAACTGCTGAGACTTCATCTTTTATGATTCTTACAAATCTTTGTGGGTCAATAAATATTACAATAATGACAATATGTAATTACAGGGAATGATAAAAACATATCATCATCAAAAATAGAACTTTCAATAGTGTTTTCATCTCAATTGAGATAGAACAAGATCTAGTTCATTATGAAAAGTCACAAAGGGAGACAGTAGCATGTCTTGACCGCCCTACTTCCTTATCTGCTTTCTTACAGCAGTCATAAAAAATTTAGTTTTGGTATACCACTTCATACCCAGGACTACATTTTGTATAAAACCAATATCACACAAGTTTACCTTGATCCTCGATCCTAATATTGATTACTACTAGATCAATATGTTTTTGTGACAATGTATACATATTTTATAAACAATGAGAGTCAAACAGACTTAGTCTTAACATATATTGATCTGATTGAGAAATCAAGCATGGCGTTTATTGACGTGACAATCAGTCAGCAGTGTGACATTATACTCAACAAAATCAATTACATTTTGAAACAAGAAATTTTTACTTTTAGTGTATCAAATTCTGTACTGAGTCTGTCTAACCTGGCCTGATCATACGGGTCATACTGATCAACTGACAATCCGATTCTCTCACGCTATTAGTGTACACCAGATCTGAGGAGATTTTGAAATTGCTCTTACAATGACTTAAACATTTAGTTTAGGGACACTTCAACACAAGATCATAAGTCCCTAGTACAAACACGACAGATGTTGTCAGATACCCAAGTGTTGCCTGACTGTACACAGTGAATGTAAACATTTTAAATACCAGATAAAAGTACCAGTTCTAGTAAAAATTAGCTTCAATAGTTGTGTATAATCTGTGATTCAGCTGTTACACATCAGTGATTCAGCTGTTACACATCAGTGATTCAGCCGTTACACATCAGTGATTCAGTTGTTACACATCAGTGATTCAGCCGTTACACATCAGTGATTCAGCCGTTACACATCAGTGATTCAGTTGTTACACATCAGTGATTCAGCCGTTACACATCAGTGATTCAGTTGTTACACATCAGTGATTCAGCCGTTACACATCAGTGATTCAGTTGTTACACATCAGTGATTTAGCCGTTACACATCAGTGATTCAGCTGTTACACATCAGTGATTCAGTTGTTACACATCAGTGATTCAGCCGTTACACATCAGTGATTCAGCTGTTACACATCAGTGATTCAGTTGTTACACATCAGTGATTCAGCCGTTACACATCAGTGATTCAGCTGTAACACATCAGTGATTCAGTTATTAGACATCAGTGATTCAGCTGTTACACATCAGTGATTCAGCTGTTACACATCAGTGATTCAGTTGTTACACATCAGTGATTCAGCTGTTACACATCAGTGATTCAGTTGTTACACATCAGTGATTCAGCCGTTACACATCAGTGATTCAGTTGTTACACATCAGTGATTCAGCCGTTACACATCAGTGATTCAGTTGTTACACATCAGTGATTCAGCCGTTACACATCAGTGATTCAGCTGTTACACATCAGTGATTCAGTTGTTACACATCAGCGATTCAGCCGTTACACATCAGTGATTCAGCTGTTACACATCAGTGATTCAGTTGTTACACATCAGTGATTCAGCCGTTACACATCAGTGATTCAGTTATTACACATCAGTGATTCAGCTGTTACACATCAGTGATTCAGCTGTTACATATCAGTGAGTCAGCTGTTACACATCAGTGATTCAGCTGTTACACATTAGTGATTCAGTTGTTACACATCAGTGATTCAGCCGTTACACATCAGTGATTCAGCCGTTACACATCAGTGATTCAGTTGTTACACAGCAGTGATTCAGCTGTTACACATCAGTGATTCAGTTGTTACACATCAGTGATTCAGCCGTTACACATCAGTGATTCAGTTATTACACATCAGTGATTCAGCTGTTACACATCAGTGATTCAGCTGTTACATATCAGTGAGTCAGCTGTTACACATCAGTGATTCAGCTGTTACACATTAGTGATTCAGTTGTTACACATCAGTGATTCAGCCGTTACACATCAGTGATTCAGCCGTTACACATCAGTGATTCAGTTGTTACACAGCAGTGATTCAGCTGTTACACATCAGTGATTCAGTTGTTACACATCAGTGATTCAGCCGTTACACATCAGTGATTCAGCTGTTACACATCAGTGATTCAGCTGTTACACAGCAGTGATTCAGCTGTTACACATCAGTGATTCCGCTGTAGCGATAATTTTTCGATCATCTTTTTACCCACCAGATATACATTTAATTTTTCTCCCATAAAAATTTATTGCATGTAAATTTAAAGGAAAAACAAAAATTTATAAAATCTTCACAGTGATTATATTGATTTTCATTGACTGATTAGTTATGTAGTCAGTACCAACAAACAGTGTTATTATTAACAGCCAATCAAAAACAGATGTGTCCTGTTCATTATGAACCCTGATTGGCTCATCAATGTTTAACCTTCAATTTCCTAATTTTGTCTAAATAGATACAAACCTTCCATGGAGCTTCCGCACTGCTCGCTCTGCATCATCAGAATACTTATACACAAGGAAAGCAAAGCCTGGCGGATTCCTGCAACAAAAGATACTGTGTCATAAATCGGACAGGCAAGTATCTTAATTATAGAAATAACTGTGAACTCTACCAAGCACAGCAATGACTCTGTCTCCCATCAGATATCCTGTGGACAGCCAATACATGTGATCACCTTCCCTTCTTATTTTGATAATATTTTAAGTCAGAACATTACATTTGCCGAATTTTTTTGGTTTCTTTTAAACAGACGTTTCAACAAATCAAAACACATTTTTTAACTAATTATATTTTCATGCTTGAGCGTGTGAATGTCTTTACCTATCATTGTAATGATTTGAATGTGGGTTTCCCAGTACTATATTCTCAAATTTCTTTTTACAGCAAGACCTAACATGACCTTCTATCCCACTTACTATTTTCACAATATTGGTGTGTGTTAACACCATATAAATTTATACTATTGAGAAATAACAAGGGCCATCAGAGATGGGGTATGAGACCCCCCTTCCCCCGTAACAGTGGTTATGAAGCATTGTGTAAAGTTTGTCTAATTGTCCAAAGAAAACTCCAGTAATTACATCAAACCAACTTTCTTTTTACAGCGATCTTGACCTTTGCCCTGCCAGTCTGAAAAGCAATCCAAAGTAAGCCCCTGTGGTAAAGATGCACTGAATGAAGTTTGAGAATAATTGTCCAAAGACAAAAACTCAAGTTATTGCAAGAAAATCAATCTCCTAAATAAGGTAACACTGTCCTTGACCTCTGACCTTTGAACCTCTAAAGCCATCACAAAGAAGCACTTCTGATAAGGAAGCACTGTATGAAGTCAGAGGTTGATTCACAAAAGGGACCTCAATTTATATGTCACTTATGGTAGGCGACACAAAAATAGACAGGTGGATGGACAAACTGACAGACAAGACAGACAAGCTGATTACTATATGGCATTGGCATCTTGCTGCAGGGTCCTAATAATGCCTCAATTATGCAAACGAGAGTAATGGTTCTGCTGCACTGTACTTTTACTTGTTGAGACAAAATTATGATGGATGGATGGACAAATAGGCTGACAGACAGACGGACAAAGTGGCAACTAAATGCTCTCTCTTCGAGGAACATAAAAATTGGGTATCTAATGTCTGACAGTGGTAATACAGTATAAAACTAATAGTCAAAAGTAGTGTCCCACTCATTTATAGGGTAGGTGTGTTGCATGTATTTCTAGTAGGGATAAAGCAACAGAAGCTGGGAGAGGGTACTCAGTTTGAAAAGCAGTACAGGAGTAGTTAGATAGGGGGTGTACAGAGGAGAAACTTAACTGGACTAGCAGTACAGGAGGAGTTAGATAGGGGGTGTACAGTGGAGAAACTTTACTGGACTAGCAGTACAGGAGGAGTTAGATAGGGGGTGTACAGAGGAGAAACTTTACTGGACTAGCAGTACAGGAGGAGTTAGATAGGGGGTGTACAGAGGAGAAACTTAACTGGACTAGCAGAACAGGAGGAGTTAGATAGGGGGTGTACAGAGGAGAAACTTAACTGGACTAGCAGAACAGGAGGAGTTAGATAGGGGGTGTACAGAGGAGAAACTTTACTGGACTAGCAGAACAGGAGGAGTTAGATAGGGGGTGTACAGTGGAGAAACTTTACTGGACTAGAAGTACAGGAGGAGTTAGATAGGGGGTGTACAGTGGAGAAACTTTACTGGACTAGAAGTACAGGAGGAGTTAGATAGGAGGTGTACCAGAGGAGAAACTTTACTGGACTAGAAGTACAGGTGGAGTTAGATAGGGGGTGTACAGAGGAGAAACTTTACTGGACTAGCAGTACAGGAGGAGTTAGATAGGGGGTGTACAGAGGAGAAACTTAACTGGACTAGCAGAACAGGAGGAGTTAGATAGGGGGTGTACAGAGGAGAAACTTTACTGGACTAGCAGTACAGGAGGAGTTAGATAGGGGGTGTACAGAGGAGAAACTTTACTGGACTAGCAGAACAGGAGGAGTTAGATAGCAGTAGGGTGTACAGAGGAGAAACTTAACTGGACTAGCAGTACAGGTGGAGTTAGATAGGGGGTGTACAGAGGAGAAACTTTACTGGACTAGCAGTACAGGAGGAGTTAGATAGGGGGTGTACAGAGGAGAAACTTAACTGGACTAGCAGTACAGGTGGAGTTAGATAGGGGGTGTACAGAGGAGAAACTTTACTGGACTAGCAGTACAGGAGGAGTTAGATAGAGGGTGTACAGAGGAGAAACTTGACTGGACTAGCAGTACAGGTGGAGTTAGATAGGGGGTGTACAGAGGAGAAACTTGACTGGACTAGAAGTACAGGAGGAGTTAGATAGAGGGTGTACAGAGGAGAAAATTTATTGGAATAGCAGTGAAGGAGGTGCAAGGTAACAGAGATAAAATATTTTGTTAGAAAATGTTGTCCATGGAATCCCACTGTAAAAGTACATAAACATTTCTACATATACAGGTGCAGGTTTTAACATGGTAATGTGTAAGTTGTGATTGATATTGGTGGTTTAAATTATTTTTTAAGTATTTTGTTAACCACTATGACATAATAACTTCCCCCACATTTCATTTTTAATAGTGTGATCAAAATTTGCAACAAAAGATATAGCATTATGCAAACTTCAAAAGAGGAATGTCTTGTTCAATTACATGCATTATAAACATCGGGTTGCTTTATGATAAATGTCGAATTAAAACTGTCTATTGTTAAGTGATATAATAGATATCTACCAGCTATACAGAAGAAAACAGCTGCGGGTCAGACTTAACTACAGTCTTCGCTGGAAACCCCCGAGGACATTTGTCCGTACTTTCAGGCCTTTAAATGATTTAATGAGAGAAACAACCAAATTGATTTGTAATGTAAACAAGATCACACACAAGATCCTATCATTGGTCTGTCTACTAATGGAATAGTGAAACCTGACTAATCACTCATACACAGGATTGTTGTAGAAAACGCACCATAGCACCTAGCATCAACAGCTAATTCATCAAAAACAACTCGTTTTAATTCTGAATTTGAAAATTAGGGTCCAATAAAGAAGATATTCAATGTAGTTATATCAGAGAGAAGCAGATTCAATATTTATTTTAAATCACATATTGTTAAAAAAACCTTTTAATACCTAACCAAATAAGTAGAATAAGGATGGAGCATCAACGACAAGGATTCCATAGTTGTTTAGATTTGTTTATGTAGACTAGGCCATCCGTCATCAAAACCAAATAAAACCTATCGTCTATGGAGCTTTATCACAATACCTCTGTATCCACCTTGAGTTTCTCTACTAATACACATACCAACCAGTTATACCATTTAGACATTGGATCACTCCACCTTTTTGTATTTTCTTCCACCTAACCAAACAGTTAAGTTGTAATATTTGTAATACTGACATGACTTAACACACGTAGATTCACTGATCCAGAACCGACTCAAAGGGTTTCCTGATCACGATTTTTAAAAACTTGATATTTTTTCCGCTAACCCAATACAGTATTAAGTGTATTTCACAAGATGCCGTTTCAATGAACACCCACATATATGACGCACCTAGCAACTGTTGTAATGTAAATAAGGGCCTTTGAATATACTTAAGGAATATATACTGTAAAGCCAACAAACTGTAGAGACTGATCTATAAAGGTAAATAAATAGCAACACAAATTTGGCTCTATCATCTGTCTTTTTTCCATGATCTCATGTGTGTATAAACCTAAACATTTTCTATGGTGACACTGCATTTTATAATTCTTTTAACTGCTGTCAGAATATTGCAATATTTCAGAAACTGTATTTAAACTTAAACAAAAAAGTGATGAAAGCTATCCAAAACAATTTTATTGGACACAAAATTTTAACAAATTGCTATAATTCTGTTTATAAGTTTTTGGGCCTAGATTTGTTAGTATTACCAGTGTATACAGCAAAGTTGATTGTCCTACTTATGATGAAAGCTCTGGATACAAAAATTAAAACAAAGGGAAATAACTCTCTCATTAAGGAATCAAACATTGGTACACTGCACATCATCTAAGTATTACAAATGTCACGCTTAATTGTGGGCTCAGAACACAAAAGGAAGTATGGACTAAGCAGCAAATATATGATCCAATGAAAATTTTCAGAGAGCATAAAAAATTATTTATTTTCCTAAAAAACTACCAGTAATAAAGACAAGATTACCCTGATAAAACTCACAGTAACTGAGAAGAGAATTGCCCTGATAAAACTCACAGTAATAGAGAAAAGTTTGCCCTGATAAAACTCACAGTAATAGAGAAAAGTTTGCCCCAATAAAACTCGCGGTACTAAAGAAAAGTTTGTTCTGATACTCACAGTAATAGAGAAAAGTTTGCCCCAATAAAACTCGCGGTACTAAAGAAAAGTTTGTTCTGATACTCACAGTAATAGAGAAAAGTTTGCCCTAATAAGACTCACAGTAATAGAGAAAAGTTTGCCCTAATACAACTCACAGTAATAGAGAAAAGTTTGCCCTAATAAGACTCACAGTAATAGAGAAAAGTTTGCCCTAATACAACTCACAGTAATAGAGAAAAGTTTGCCCTAATACAACTCACAGTAACAGAGAAAAGTTTGCCCTGGTAAAACTCACAGTAATAGAGAAAAGTTTGCCCTGGTAAAACTCACAGTAATAGAGAAAAGTTTGCCCTGATAAAACTCACAGTAATAGAGAAAAGTTTGCCCTGATAAAACTCACAGTACTAAAGAAAAGTTTGTTCTGATACTCACAGTAATAGAGAAAAGTTTGCCCTAATACAACTCACAGTAATAGAGAAAAGTTTGCCCTAATAAGACTCACAGTAACAGAGAAAAGTTTGCCCTGGTAAAACTCACAGTAATAGAGAAAAGGTTGCCCTGATAAAACTCACAGTAATAGAGAAAAGTTTGCCCTCATAAAACTCACAGTAACAGAGAAAAGTTTGCCCTTCCATTAACTTTCAGTATTTTTATGTATATGTCTAGATTATAATATAAACTCTACACCTTAATTGTCCATACTTCATTAACATCATCACGAAAAGCATAGTAATGAAGATTATGAAAATCTTCGTGTTTGAGATATAACTTGATATGTTAATTCATGGAATAAGGTTAAATATGTACCAGCATCAAAAGTGGTCTACTACATATATCAAAAATGAAGGGAGTGAAATGGGTTGGGGAGATTCCTAGAACATTCACCTAAACCAACTTTATTAATTTGTTAATATTTCCTACTTGGAATATTCAATAGATTCAATCAAATATACCTGTACATTACTTGACAGGCAGACCGTGTTCACACAGCCGAATGAGAAAGACGTTGAACCATTGATTCTTTTCTGGATATACAATATACTTTATTGCCAAATTATTCAATTCCAATACATGTACATTTAAAACTCTGAATGATTGGGCGAGAAGACAACGTTTTTATGTGCATATTTATCCACATAAAAGATTTATGGATAGGTCGCTCTGCCCTTCACTATTTCATGCTGTCAGCTACAATAATCTCTAAAGCATTTCCTTCATAGTTTCATATAAAAAAACTGGCACGTATGTTTCTGTGCATAAGTGTCCATTATGTTTCGCATAAACCAGGTATGCTAACTTGTCACTGACTGGTTAGCTTCTGCTTACATAGTTTTACACAAACACTGAAAAGTGAACAGAAAACATAGAAGATGAAACAAGTGGCTTTTTTTCTATTAAAATATTGGGACAGTAATACTGTCCGTAGATACTGAGAATATTTCATGAGTTGTACGTGTCCTACCTAAGTGTACATCTCTACCACGATAGTGAACCTTATCGGAACTCGTTAACTGATAAAACATTCATGTCCCTATATTTTACCTTGCGACCCAAACATCTGTTATATCTCCAATTACTCCAAACTCCCTTTCCAATTCATGCTTTCCGACTCGGCTACCCAAATCCCCGACGAACACCCTGTATCCGCCTCTGCTTCTGTCTAGTATCGCCATGTTATTGGACGTGTGCTAATACTTCCCCGTTTAGTCTTACACGCTGTGTGTTGCGAACCGCCCCCTCTGATACTTGCCTAACTATCGATTTGCGCATGCGCAAAGTGCCTCTTACCTGTAATGCAACCTATAGTACAATTTACAAATTAAACTTTTAAAAAAATTTAAAACGTAAAACTTAATACGGATTGTGTGACGTTTTAGCAGTAAATAACGTATTGTATTATGTTTATGACTTTCTATACTGTTAACTATGATCCCGTTTACTTTCAACATGCTCCTATACGCAACTGACTTAGATAAACATTCAATTTGTTTATCTTAATATTATCACTTCTACATTAAAAGTGCTATCGATGACAGGTAAGGACAAGTATGTAACGCTTCACAACACATGCGCTCCAAGAGAAAATTATACTTTAAATTATGTGTCTAGTATTATCTAACGATTCAGTAAATAAAACGACAACATATTACACAATTTACAAAATGCATCTCACTAGAATAACCATATTTTAAGTATTCATATCGACGCTTCAGTGTTAAAAGTACATCGTGTGGTCATACTTTCCCGTGAAATCCTCTACAGCTGCTGCGACAGCTTTTTTAAATAGTTACTCGGCGAATTTACTATACCCTTAATTATCTAATTAATTCACTCTACCTCTAATTAACTAGGACATTCTTACATAAATGCGACCTGTCTGTATATTATTACTTTATACATGGTAAATAAATCATTCTAACCGACATTAACTTTACAATTAGGACTACCAATAATTAATCATTTAAGTAGCTCATTACATTTTTCCAGACATATTGTCACAATTGGCAAATATCCGGTCGGGCGTTGAAAAGGGACGAGACGACGTGAATTGAAGAAATCAATGTGTAAACCACTAGTAAAAATACCGAACGTAAATACATTGTACTGAACCGAGACACAAAATACCGAACTATTTGAATTATACTGACCATAGACAAAGTACACTAGTGGACACAAATACCGAACATAGATAAATTATACTAAACAGAGACAAAGTATACTGCACGGGGACAAAAATACCGAACGCAGATAAATTATACTGGCCATAGACAAAGTATACTAGTGGACAAAAATAACACACTTAATTAAATCAAAGTAAACAGAGACAAAGTACATTGCACGGGGACGAAAACACTCAACATAGACAAATTGTACTGAACAGAGACAAAGCGTAGTGAACGGAAACAAAGTGAACTCAGAGACAAAGTGTAGTGAACATAAACAAATTGTGCTGAGTGAGAGACAAAGTGTAGTGAACATAAACAAAGTGTACTGAGTGAGAGACAAAGTGTAGTGAACATAAACAAAGTGTACTGAGTGAGAGACAAAGTGTAGTGAACATAAACAAAGTGTACTGAGTGAGAGACAAAGTGTAGTGAACATAAACAAAGTGTAAAGAGTGAGAGACAAAGTGTAGTGAACATAAACAAAGTGTAAAGAGTGAGAGACAAAGTGTAGTGAACATAAACAAAGTGTACTGAGTGAGAGACAAAGTATACTGAACGGAAACAAAGTGAACTCAGAGACAAAGTGTAGTGAACATAAACAAAGTGTACTGAGTGAGAGACAAAGTGTAGTGAACATAAACAAAGTGTACTGAGTGAGAGACAAAGTGTAGTGAACATAAACAAAGTGTACTGAGTGAGAGACAAAGTGTAGTGAACATAAACAAAGTGTAAAGAGTGAGAGACAAAGTGTAGTGAACATAAACAAAGTGTAAAGAGTGAGAGACAAAGTGTAGTGAACATAAACAAAGTGTACTGAGTGAGAGACAAAGTATACTGAACGGAAACAAAGTGAACTCAGAGACAAAGTGTAGTGAACATAAACAAAGTGTAAAGAGTGAGAGACAAAGTGTAGTGAACATGAACAAATTGTGCTGAGTGAGAGACAAAGTGTAGTGAGTAGTGAACATAAACAAAGTGTACTGAGTGAGAGACAAAGTGTAGTGAGTAGTGAACATAAACAAAGTGTACTGAGTGAGAGACAAAGTGTAGAGAACATAAACAAAGTGTACTGAGTGAGATACAAAGTGTAGAGAACATAAACAAAGTGTACTGAGTGAGAGACAAAGTGTAGTAAATATAAATAAAGTGTAAAGAGTGAGAGACAAAGTGTAGTGAACATAAACAAAGTGTACTGAGTGAGAGACAAAGTATGCTGAACGGAAACAAAGTGAACTCAGAGACAAAGTGTAGTGAACATAAACAAAGTGTAAAGAGTGAGAGACAAAGTGTAGTGAACATGAACAAATTGTGCTGAGTGAGAGACAAAGTGTAGTGAGTAGTGAACATAAACAAAGTGTACTGAGTGAGAGACAAAGTGTAGTGAGTAGTGAACATAAACAAAGTGTACTGAGTGAGAGACAAAGTGTAGAGAACATAAACAAAGTGTACTGAGTGAGATACAAAGTGTAGAGAACATAAACAAAGTGTACTGAGTGAGAGACAAAGTGTAGAGAACATAAACAAAGTGTACTGAGTGAGAGACAAAGTGTAGTAAATATAAATAAAGTGTACTGAGTGAGAGACAAAGTGTAGTGAACATAAACAAAGTGTACTGAGTGAGAGACAAAGTGTAGTGAACATAAACAAAGTGTACTGAGTGAGAGACAAAGTGTAGTGAACATAAACAAAGTGTACTGAGTGAGAGACAAAGTATACTGAACGGAAACAAAGTGAACTCAGAGACAAAGTGTAGTGAACATAAACAAAGTGTAAAGAGTGAGAGACAAAGTGTAGTGAACATAAACAAAGTGTACTGAGTGAGAGACAAAGTGTAGTGAACATAAACAAATTGTACTGAGTGAGAGACAAATTATATTGAACGGAAACAAAGTGAACTCAGAGACAAAGTGTAATGAACATAAACAAAGTGTAAAGAGTGAGAGACAAAGTGTAGTGAACATAAACAAAGTGTAAAGAGTGAGAGACAAAGTGTAGTGAACATAAACAAATTGTGCTGAGTGAGAGACAAAGTGTAGTGAGTAGTGAACATAAACAAAGTGTACTGAGTGAGAGACAAAGTGTAGTGAGTAGTGAACATAAACAAAGTGTAAAGAGTGAGAGACAAAGTGTAGTGAACATAAACAAAGTGTACTGAGTGAGAGACAAAGTGTAGTGAACATAAACAAAGTGTACTGAGTGAGAGACAAAGTGTAGTGAACATAAACAAATTGTACTGAGTGAGAGACAAATTATATTGAACGGAAACAAAGTGAACTCAGTGAGAGACAAAGTGTAGTGACCATAAACAAAGTGTACTGAGTGAAGAAAATGTATATAGAGCGAAAGCAAGGTGTACTGAGTGAAGACAATCAGTCCATTGTAGACCAAAGCTGGGATGTGGAGTTTTGCCCTGTAGACAAAAACCAACAACAAATCTCTTGTATTCGGTACAGCAAAACAGACACAATATCTTTTGTATTCTACGGTTAGTTAGTGGTATTTGGTAAAATAGTGAATCGATATATTTTATGTTTGTTGATATTTTGTTACGTATATTGAAGGACAGTAAGAGATTAGATTAAAGAAAATCACAGTACAGTGCATCACGTAGTCAGCAACTTGGTGTGTAACAGCTGTCAGCGTGTTGTTTTATAAAATCTATTTCACTGCCATAACAACGAGCTGGTAATTAATTCGCGTATGGCATATGTTATCGATACTGTCCGTAAGATTTAAGTGGATATCAATGTTATGAAACAAAGAACGCTATGATATGTATGGAAGCCTTTATGTGACCCTTAGTGGTTCCGTAGATAAGGTAATATAATACAGAATGTAGATAAGAACACAACAGTACCTGATAAATCATGTAGTCTCTCTTGGTACCGAGGTCCATAATGTAATGTTTTGTGATTTAATGTAACTGTAAAATAACTTATTATCAATTGATATTTATTAACGTGATTTCGGTATATTATGTATAGCAAGTGCTCCTTAGTTTGTTACAAGCGTTACCTGTATTCGTTAATTCCTATTGTATTGTATTATTGTCAAGGGGTATAAATTCGACTTTCAGTGACCGATCACGTGCACGTGACAGTCCTATAGAAATGTAGTCATGCGTAGCACACCTGTGAAGTTGAACGGGAGTACGACCTTATTAGCTAGGTTATTTATTACGGGTATATAAGGCCGGGTTGTTGGAACATCAAATAACAAACCTACACCAGCTAACAAGCTAAACCTATTTTCCAATTTCCGACTTTCCCATACACTCTCTCCCGCTATCTTCTAAAACTTCTTGTCCTTCGGAAGGGACGTTAAACGGGGGCCCGGTGTACAGTGAGTCACGCCGTGCACGTTAAAGAACCTCTGCTGGTTTTCGAAAAAGAGAAGGCTAACTGCTAGCCGCCACAGAGCATAGGTTTATAATAGGGAAATATAAAGTGAGACTAGAGTAGGACTAGGCGTTTCTGTGACAGTCCAAAATTTCCCCAGTTTTTTTTTTTTTTTTAGACGTTAGGGTATAGATTTAGTCAGATATGTCCTCCCCATATTAGACCTGTTTGGTGATTACTAAAAAGCGAAATTGCACACCCTAATGCCTCGGCCCTACCAGCCCCCTCCCCCTTAGTGTCCTAGGCTCGGTTATAACCGGAACAAGGACGTTAAGCTAAAAAAAAACAACAAAAAAACATTAGGGTCCTTCTCTCTTCCGCTGGAGTCAAAGCAGGCAGGCCTTGTTGATGGTGAGATATTATTGAATAATTGTAAAGCTCAAAGGGGAAAGCGCACTTCGCCAGACGTCCGGGATTGCCACAGTGAACAGTGCAGGGGTTTGGCGCGGACGCCGGGAAGTTATTGGCGTAAGGGGTAACGCGGACGCCGGGAGCTGGGCCGAAGGTTACTAGGGCGCCTAGGAACGTATTGTGGAACGGGCGAGGATGATGGCGAAGTGTGTTCCCCCTTAGTTAACTTGGCCTTAGTTTTGCCAGGGAACTATTGTT